CAATTTATTAGATGGCAAATAAAGTAAAAAAAGTGGTAAAGGTATAATTAAGGATTAATTGGGATGTTAAGTGAACATTATTTATATTTAAATTTCAGTGCTTTTATAGCTTACTTAATAAAATTCTCCGATAAGGCCAATGATGAATGTTAAATGAATCTGAAGAGGAGATCCTAAACTGCGTGTCGAAAAAACGATTACGGAAAGATGATGGGTTTATGGAGTTTAAAGTACGTCGATACGATCGTTAAACACGCGACGGACGGTACGTTCCTCTCGATGGGTTGGGTCGCCATTCATAAAGCTATTGCAAAAATGATGTGTCAGGGTTCACGATTCATCCACGTTCTTCGCCAGGTGTCATGTCGAGATAACTGTTTAAGGCGTCGTTTAATTTGTGACATACGAGAAATTGAGCGTTTACTATCGCTGCCACTTCAGGCACATTCGATATGCCACATTGATCCGTGACTATTTTCCTTTCGATATCCTAACGACAAAATGCGTATTTAGCATGAATAATTACACAGGAAACTCTTCACCATTTTCGAACGGCTTATGAAATCGGGGTCATTGAGCGAAAGGACGTTGAAAGGTGTGACGAGAAGTGCTGAGCAGGAAGTACGTTAAATACCAAAGAAACATTGAGTTCTGTCTAGTCGGCGGAGGAAAAAGATCTCTGCCGATAGCGTGTCTATGGATGGACTGACGGAAAAAAGTGTAGCCGTTATGTCAAACACGCACGACAGTGCAATGATTATCTGGCCCATCAGTGTGGCAATCGATCTCGCGATAACCATCTTAAGACTTGGATTTCTTTGCGTGATTAATGACATTTTAATAGATCGAGTCACGCTCTCATCCCTTTGGTGAGCACTCGCTCCTCACTTATCTCTCCTCGGACATTTCTTTTATTAATTGCGTGTTATTTATCATATAAATAACACATAGCTGAGAGACACATAGCTAAGAGTATTATTCTTTAAAATGTCATTATAAATTACTCTGCGATCAATAATGAGAACAAAAATAATATGGCAATATTTCAGAAAATGACCTTTCTTTCTTCACTTCCACAATATCGCAGATTTCTCTTCAGATTATTATTTGATTAATTTTTTTTTACTTTATCGCTTATAGTTCAGAAAAAGGCGTAAACGGTACTTCTCGAGCTTCGAGCTACTTCGTCTTCGTCTTCGTCAGCAGCGGTGAACCGATTCAAAGATCCGCGCCGGAGCTTCGCGAGTCAGGAAAAGTCCGGTCGCTTTACTAGAAACCGGAGCTTAGACTTTTCGGTCTTTTTCTCAGTGCTCTCGTCGGCGTGCTGTCCAACGCGTCTGTGTAGATTGGCAACCGGTTTTCCTGTGGCCTCTCCCAACTGATTCCTCACTCCCACTCTCACTCCCACTTCTGTTTCCCATTCCAGAGCCCCCCCTGCATTCTCCATATCCCACACCTCATCCCTCATCCCTCACAAAGCCGTAAAATTATTACGTCAATTTCCATTTTTTTATGCTTCTAAATATGAATTAGCAATACGTTTTGCATTGTATAACTTCAATGTTTTTTCGGAGATTCGTGAAAAACCAAAATTCATGATTATTTGCTTGATCAACTGCTTTATGAATAATTATTTGACATGTAAAACATATTTAAATATTAGTGAAAATAACTAAAGATTTTGTAAAATATAATATTTTGTTATTTATAAAAATATTTTTTTCTTATAAAATATGATTGAATTTATATTGTCGCAAAAGCGATCGCGCTACTATTTTTTTCCGGAACGCAAGCGAAAAGAATTCAGACAAATAAAGCAATAATCTACTCAATAAACTTCACTTTCTCAAGCCAGTTTTGTATCGGAAAGTAAAGTATTCATAGCGGCTCTATGTATGTTAAAATGCAATCTTCCTGCAATCTTCCAGCAATTTTCCCGCAATCGTCGTTAATCCTTCCGTTTCGACTTCGAAGACTTTGAACGGATCTCGGCGTTTCAGCTTAGGAGCTTAACTTCCTGGCCGCGCAACTGACCGATCCTCGCCACTCTTCTTATTTCTCATTCCTGGCCACGTGTTGCAGTGCGATCGCAGGAACGAGTCGATGAAACTACTTTGCCCTACCCGTTTTCCGTGCGCCGAGTGTTTTCGCTTTCGTATAAAACTCTATGCGGTTTCCAGGCTAGATAATGAATAAATCGACTTCATGACCTGCACATGGGAAAAATTCCGCGAGCAACAGCGAACGTAAAAACGCTAGGAAGCGAATGCTTTTGAAACCGCGAGAAATTTCATTATCCTTGAACACGCGCGAGTGCGGACAATTTCATTTTAGACGCGTCAATTTTCTGCATGGCTCCATTCTCTGTGCATTGTCGATTTTTTTTCTACTCCATTGTTGATTACGCGCAACGGTTTGCAGCGACCACATGCGGAAAGCAATAAGACGAGTCTACGAGTCGCGGATACTTCGAATGCGCATTTGCGGTTTGGCAATTAAGTATGATGGTAATAACCGTGATAGCGGTGAAATAAGAGGATAACAGCGAGCCGCAACGACAGTGAGCTACTTAGATCGAATTTCACCTTCTCTTTTCTCGTAACCTTCCCACTCCCATATGTTTCCCGCATGGGCGGACTGAGGTGTTTTCAATACCTCATTCTGAAGAGCAATGTTATTTCTCTACGTAAAACTTTGTTAATTAAAGAAAAGAGAAGCGTAACTTAATTGCTTGCAATCCGGTGTTGTGTAAAAATTGGTACACATTTTTGCAAACAAAATTCTCTTAGACGATTATAATTATTATATAAATATATTATACAATTTTAAAAGAATTCAAATAAAATAGTTGTTTCTTTTCTAACAATATTATTTAAAATAACAATAAAATATTCATTTTTCTAGAAATATTTCTAGAAATGATCTTCGGTCGCAAAGGATTACTTTTTTCCCCGTATCTTTTATTGTTTTTCCATGTAGCATTGGATACGCTCCAAAAGATAGAATCGCCAACGCATAGGCGAACGTTTAATCTTCGATCGTTCGCTCCGCGTCTTTCCCGTTACGGACGCATTAGTGCGGGAGCTACCTCATATTGTTCGCGTATCCCCCTTTAATTCCCGGACGGTAGTCAGTTAAGATCGCCACGGGTAACCGCAGAGAACGAAGGGTAGGTGGGAATACGTGTGTAATCGCAGGCGCACAGAAAATTGCATTCCCTGCTCACCTTCCCTTTCTTTCCGCAACTCTCACAGAATCCTACGCTTTCCTCTCTCGCGTTCGCATTTGCCGTCATCGTAAGTAGGCTCAATTATGCCCATTACACGAGCCTGGATAATCAATTTCCACGAATGAAAATTCGTATCGTTACCACCGATGGAGATAACGATACGCAGAAGAGGAACGATTACGGTCTATCCATTACAACGAAAAGTAATTGAAAATGAACGATTTTCCGTTAGATCCATCAAAAAGTCTAGTTAAAATCTATAAAAATAAAATTAATTAATGTTATAATGATTTTCTGAAAATTACAGAAAGAACCTTACCGCGATATTACTTTTCCGCGACCTCAACATGTTATTTTTACATCTAACACTTTTTCCTCGATTGTTTCAGTTTACATAACAATTCGCACTTTTCCAATACAAATATAGTAATATTAAACTGAGAGATTTGTACAGAGTCATAGCGTGATTCATCGGCGTTTGATTACTCACACACGGCGAAGCGTGCACGAATTTCCGCGCGAGAGAGAGTTGGCGTGTATGGAGCAATTATTTTCCGCGCGTATTTTTCTCTTATGCAATCTACGCGCAATCGCACTAATTTTAACATTTGCGAAACCATACAATTCATTCGACGTATCTGACTGTTATTAAGGTTAATTAATTGTACGTCAACACGAACGTTCGCTCGCGGAATAATTAGAGCAGCCTTGATTCCCAGGGCGATCGGATTTGCAGGTTGTTTCTGTTTCGAATATAATGCAGTGCACTTAGTAATTAACTTCATTTGGATAATTTCGATAATTTAATTTTTTTTCGATACTTTATCGCTACATCTTTTTGTTTGCTTTAATCTGCGCGACCCTTAAGGGATAATTAGCGTTTATCTCCCGCCTTGTTCTAATTGCAAGTGTCGCGGGATTACAAGTACATTCGTTGACTGCGGTTATTTTTTAATTGCACATTACATTGAGAATGATACCATGCGAACGCGAGCATTGTTTGCACAGCTCGCATGTACTTCACTTCCGAGAGAAACGTCTCAGGTAATGCGATATTCTCGTGTGCCTCGTGATATTACGCGACGAATAAAGGAAAATGTTGCGATCATTAAACATGACCCGAAAACATAACGTAAGTTTATTCTGGGCGTATCTTTCTGAATTTTCGGTACGTAAGATTTATGCTCGACGTGTCGAACAGTTGGTTGTTTTCCGCAAAACAAAAGTATCCAAATGTGCGTATTTGCTGGTTTCTTTACCGGACACTATCATTTTTATAAATAGACGGACCGTGAAGCTAGTAGAAAAGGAACGTCCACCAGCGTCACAGTAACGAGCTTAAAGCCAGTCATAATGAACGCGTAGCGCGACGCATGAGAGAACGTCTCAACCTTGACTGGCGCTTCGGATAGCTATGATCCTCGTGATACGGCACGATCTAGGACATTCTACTTCGCTCCTAGGACGCTTCGAAACTTTATGATGCATTCTGACAGCTGTATTATGTAGCTTGTTACAACGCGTTAACCGCAACTGGCAATATAATCGGCTTGATAGCAAAAGTGTGTCGCTTTCGTTCGCGGTTGCTTTATAAACATTTCTTAGATGTCATTTATCGCCTTAAATATTATAATCAAACATGGGCTCGATGTAAAATTGAATTTCTTTGATGCATGGATTTCTCGTATATACTTGGTCAAAAAATTCATTATTATTTCCAACAAAATAACGATAATCGAAGATTATTATTAGCCTTAGATATATCGCTCACCGTTGGCGCGTGCAAGTCCGACGATGCATATCCAGCACAGGGCCAGTCTCCAGAAACGGTCGGCCATGTCCATTCCCCGAGTAATTACGAAACGTCCGTGGACTGTGTGCTCGCGATCGGCGTCGCGGACAGGTGAATGAAGGGAGGAGAAAATAAAGAAAAAAGGAGGTAGATGGGAAAAAGGAGGGACGGGTCGAGTATCTACGTATCAGTCGCGAGGAACTCTCATTTAGTCGAGCGCGTTTGGCTGCGTGCAGGATCGATCGCTTTTCTCACTTTCGAGCGGTGAGAAATTCGCGTTTGCGAAAGCACAATTTTACGTCGTGCGGCACTTCCGTCAGTGAAAAGCCCAAGGATCGTCGGACCTTGATGAAGTGGGCCTTGATGAAGATACGCGAGCGATGTTCCCCGTGCGAACACGCGAGAGACACTGACGGGCCCAGAGAGCGGCGGGAGAGTTTGAACCGCCAGCAGACCCAGACTGCAGCCTCGACCAGTGGCGTAGACGCGGACTGAACGTCACAATAAAAAACGATTGTATGTAATTTTAATCAAACTTAATTAATCATTGCAAGAGAAATTAACTTCTTTAGCTAAAGAGAGAAATAAATGCAAATTGAAGAATAAATATAGCGCATGATGATCGTCCTATGATAATATTCTCGTAATAATATTTCTCTATCTTTGTATACATCGCCTGCCAGCTTTTTTATTATTTTTTATTTACGACAGAGATAAGTTCAAAGTAAAATAATTACATTATATTTCAGTCTGTTGTCATAAATTCGAGTTCTTTTATTAGAGTAAAATAGCTTTTTTCTGCGATAATTGTGTTGGAGGAAGTCAAATCATAAACTGGAGCTTAACCATAATCGGACACAACGGGTCCGATACGCCACTGTCACCGAGAAACAAAAGACACACAGATGAGAAAGTGGTAGCCGCCGCAAACCAATTGCAATGGTAGGATTGCGCGAATGTGTACGTATCCGCCTGTGTAGATGCGCGCTTATCTGGCAACTGGAATGAGCTTGCGGGTCGGAATAATTATGAGAAGGTATGGCAAGTCTCGCGTTAATTGATTTATAGGCCGATCGACCGAAGTAGATTCATCGAGATATCCTAGATGAAGGCGTGTCCTTGCGATCCTACAGCCGATCGCGCCGATAGTGCGGGATCCCAGTGCAAGGTTTCGAGTCCTACAGACGCCGTCTTAATATCCCACGGCGAAAGCCGACCCGGGCACAAAAGAATCTTTTACAAACTCGTTCTTATTTCTTTTTTTCACCGCTGTAGTACGGGCAGGCGATGTTTTAACGTAGGCGTGCGGAGCCAACGGCATCTCTCGCCCTGGGCCTTACATGGATGCATCGTGAGTCACTGCCCAAAGCGGCGTATGTAAATGTATTCTGCTTATTTTATTCATGCGTCATATGATGACGATGACCGCGTGTATCAAAAACATCACTTTAAAAACGAACGATGACATTGGACGAACATGAGAAATTAATATCAGATAATAACATAGAAAATAAATAATAATAAATTAACATGAGATAACGGGAAAATATATACCTGATTAATTGTGTGAATTATGTTAATTACAATTATTTAGTTATACACCCTTTGGAAGTAATAAAAATGATACAAAATTTAAGTATATTTGTCTTGCCTGACAATGAGTCGTCGCGAAGAGTCAATAATGTCGTCGTTGTCGCGGTAATTTGCGGACGAAGGAAGAGACAAATGTAAATTTACCCGCGTCCCTAAGAGCCTCGAGGTCTCCGAGGCCTCGACGAAGGCCCAGACAAGCGGATGTCTGTCCCGCGAGAGTTTTCTTCGTGGTACTTCGTGAGAGCTCGTGCCAGCTCGTGTACGGTATTTCTCTTGGCCATTATTGGACTTCGAGTGAAAGTGTCGGGCTAGATATTTCGTAATCGGATATTTTGATATCGCGCAATAAATTCGCGCATTTTGCAGATGCAAAATGAGAAATATTTTCGATCGACGCTATTTAGCATCTAACACATTGTTTTCCGATTACGACGCGATTTATATGCTTTTACTTTCAAGGATTTACTTTGCGATACCGTACGTAATAAAAATAATATAAAAAGATTATAATTTAAGTTTCATAAATATAAAATTAAGAGATAACGTTTAGTATTGATATAAAATCGCGCGTCTGCGTAACTGCAATGCAAAGCTACGAAGATTGGTCTTGGCAAATGCTTTTCACCGAGAAATACTTCGCTAATTAAGCGTTAAACCGGCGTTAATCCCGATCGAGGGAGCGGGCCGCCGAGCAGAACGGCCAGCGAGCGGCGTGTGTGCAACCTATTGTTTTTTCCGCTGTGCCAACCGAAGCAATATTAATCAAGTATGCCGTGCGTCGTGTAATTTAAATTCCCGTTAATCCGCCGGACTCGACGAATCGCCACTCGAAGCGCGCGCGGGGGCATTGTCTCTTTCTCTTGTGGATTTCGTAGTCGCGCGCACTAACCGGTGATTATTATCGTGCGACAATAATAACAAAGTGCGAATAATTAGCGAACCGATACGGCAGAATGCGTAGCCTCTGAATTCGCGCCTCCAATAACGCTAATAAATCAGCAATAACGTGTCCTTTCCTTAGCGGAAACAACGACTGTTTCTTGTCTTCATTAGAGATCTCTCTCTTCTTTTTTTTAGTGCGATGAGACGCGCTACGCTTAATCGTGGATACTAATTATAGTCTTCACGGGATAATGAAATAATCTTACTACGTGTAGCTCGGGAGACTGCCGACTTCCTTGAGAACTTTTTCAGCGCGTTGCGAGCACTTTATTAGTCGCGGGACAAGACGGATACACGACGCAATGGCGAATTAATCTCGTAGAATTAGCTGGCTCTTATTAGGATGAATCGTTTGCTGATCTTCCACTCGCTCGCTTGTAACAATTGTAAATTATCGGCATAGATCCCGCCGCAACAGGATGTCAGGCGTGTCCTCCTTGCGTGTCGAATCTTGATTAATCCTTCCATGTTAAATGAAAACAATATGATACTTGTACAAGATATATATTTTACAAAAATAAATACATGTGACGTTCAACGTCCCTACTTTTGAAATACACGATTTATGTACAACGGTATATCATCTACGCCTTTTCCGAATAATATATTAAATCACTTTACAATCATCGCTTCGCGTTTCAACGCGACATACAGCACTCGACGTAATAAAAGCCTAATTTACCAGAATAATTTTAAAGATAATCATCAGCTAACGATACTTGAAAGTATTTTATCATGTTACTGTTTGCTGTAAAACTGTTACTGTTTGAATGGAGAATATTTTCCTAAATGCTGTAAATACCATTTTCGGGACAGATAAAATCTCGTATAAGGGTGCAAAAGGAAGCAACGACTATCACGAAGTACAGGCTCGCCCTGAGGCTAATGGTCGAACCGGAGCTGTGCTGATTTAAAATCTGACACTGCGAGTTTCTATAGTGCTTGACGTTTCCCTCGGAATCACGCGCGAGCACGCAGAGCTCGTATTTTGTGTCCGAGTCCTTTAGATCGTGGATTCTGAAGGATCGCTCGCTGTAAACGACGTCCTTCTCGATCATGGATTTACTGCTTCCGGTTTCTCGAACGACGATATAAAAGTCGCCGATGTCTTCTCTCGACGTTACGAACCACGTCGCTTTCCAACTCTTGTCTTTAGTGTTGCTAAAAAAATTGCGATTTAATCTCCAAAATTTTGGAAAAAAATTTAGATATGATATTTAATATAAATCTTTAAATGGTAAAATATATATATACATATATAATTACGTACTAGTCGAGACTCCGGTATTTCACATCGGGTGTGATACCGAGTTCCGGTTTTTCTTGAATCTCTCTCTCGCCGCAGTTCATAAGATCTTCAGTTACCTCCGAGATAGGTTTGTTCGCGAGATAATTCGGGCTCTCGCACATCACGCTCGACCATTCTGTCGGGAGGTACGTTTGAGACTTCAGCCATCTCTTTAAAGGTCGAGCATGGCAGTCACAATGTATAGGATTTCCTATTTTATCAAATATATACATATTTTAATATGGATGAAAAAATTGAATTCTAAATATAAAATTTTTCTTCTGACAATAATTTAACAACGAGAGATCTTAAAGAATGCCGTAATTTTAAATCACTGATTATTGAAAATCAAAATTATCAGAGTTACAAGATTCTCCAAAATCTTGTAATTAAATTACAATCATTATTTTGTATTTGTGTTGAATTGAATTATTAATTTTTTTGTTACCAGAGTATTTGAGAATTGTGCCGTTCTTAATAATCTTCATAAATTTCTCGTCAAAAACGCCAATCTCGTTTTTTTCCAGATCGAGAACTTTCAGATTCGGTAGTGGTAGAATCTTATCGAGAGGCACATGATTGAGATGATTGTTGCTCAGGTGCAAATTGGTTAAATTTAACGGTGGCAGAAAAACGTCTCGTTCGGACACGTCATTTATGTCATTGTGCGACAAATCCAAAATCTGCAAAGCCGTTAAATTCCCGATTACATCTGAAATAAAGAAATATTTTGATAAACAACGATCCTCAGAAAGCTGTGAATTAACGAGCCGTTATTAATTAATTAATTATCAAGAGTTACGAAAAGCAATATTTTCAATTTACTACTCACATCGCCTAATCTCATTAATATTATTATGAGAGAGATTCAAGTATTGAAGCTTCTTGGCGCCGGCAATGAGGTCAAAAGTGACGACCGGCATTGTGTTGTAAGACAAATCGACTTCTTTCAGTCTGTACGGGATCCAGGGATCATTTGGCAGAGTCTTCCGAGTAATAAACGAAATTTTATTGTGGCTAAGGTTGAGTCTCTCCAATGACAGACAGTCGTCGAGCAATCCGTGCGTTTTGTTATCCAGCTTCTCTAATTTATTGTACGATAAATCGAGAGTTCTCAAAGACACCAGACCTTGAAACGCGCCGTTCGGTATGTGGCTAATATTGTTGCTGGTCAGATTTAATGTTAGCAGCTGCAACAGGCCCTCGAACGCACGAGTCGTCACATTGTTTATTCTATTGTTTGCCATATTCAATTCGAACACTATTGGCAAGTGACCGAAGGCGGCTTTTTCCAGTTTCGTCAAGTAATTATCCTGAAATATTTTTATCGGTTGAAGGTTTTATTTATTGTCCGCAAATAAGAGCTTTGCGTAAAAAAAATTTCCGTTGTCTCACCTGCAGATAAAGATACTGCAAGCTGCTCAGACTGCTCAGCGCTTGCCAGGGCGGCTTCGTGATGTTGTTCGCTTGCAGATTTAAGATTCTCAAGGTCAGCAAGTTTTCGAAACTCCCTTTTTGTAAATTATCGCCCAGTCGATTCCGCGAAAGATCCAGCGAGAGCAGCGCGTTCATCGAGGGCCACACGTCAGTGCTCGGGATTTCCTCCAACAGATTCTCCGAAAAGTCCAGATGACCCAGAGAATTCGGTAGTTGGAAAATCTTCGTCAGACGATTGTTTTTTACTGTCAAGCTCCTAAAATTTTGTTAATGTATATTATTATACGCAAAATATTTTTTCAATTTTATAGATAAAGAGTGACGTACCTGCAGCTGGCTAATCGAGTGAGACTGCCGCGCGCAACGTCGTTCAATTGATTGTAGCTCATATCGAGCTCTAAAAGCGTAGGCAGCGGCCCGAATGTCGACGGTTTTATTTTTTCCAAAGAATTGTGCGATAAATTCAAAAATCGCAGACTGAAGAGTGTCTGAAATATAGCGTTGTGTATCTCGGACAGATTGTTGTGCGAGATATCGATTGTGTGGAGCTCGTACAATTTAGGGAAGGTCTGTCGTGGAACGGAGTGTATCAGATTGTGAGAAACGTTTAATACTTTCATTCCCGTCATGTTGTGCAATGGAACCTGCCAAAGAATATATTTTTATAACGAATTGAACATAATAAATAAATATTTAGAGATATGATGATAAAGTATCTAATCGTTCGCATTTAAAGAACGCACTTACTTGATTTAGAGATGTCAGTAGATTATAACTAAGTTGCATTTCCATAGCGTATGACGTGCTGTCGAAAGAATACCTCGAGATGTTGTCGATCTTGTTGTAGCTAAGATCCAGCGACGTGATATTTGCACAGTTCTCGAAAGCACCTGGTTCGATCTTCGAAATCTCGTTATGAGACAGATTCACTTTTGCAAGATAAAGATCTTTGAATGCCAGTTTCTCTATAGTTGTCACAAAATTCTCGGAAACGTCTATAAGCTAATGGTGAGCGTATTATTAGCAAAAAAGTCATGTGAAAATTGTATCATCTTTTTACAATTAATGTATACCTCAGCATATTGCAACTGGTGGAACATTTGGAAGTCGATCTTTTTAATGAAGTTCCGAGAGAGATCGATCGTGCCGATTCTAGTAACGGAACCGAAAGTTCCGCGACCTACATCGTTGATTTGGTTGTCACTGAGATGCAGTCGTCTGAGAAAACGCATACCGCGGAAAGTGTTCGAATCCAATTTTCTAATTTTATTATGACTCAGATTCAGGACCTTCAAAACGGAATTTCGGGCGAAGGTTCCTCTAAAACGAAAATGAACTTAGATACTCCATGTCGCATGACACTCGAATGTAATTAATGTCTTTTTCAAATTCAATCAACCTCTTCAAGTCGGCGATAGCATTGTGCGACATGTTACACCATCCCATCTTGACAAGATCGGCTAAGTGAGACGCGTCTAACTTATCGATCAAGTTATGAGAGAGATCTAAGAATTCAGTGTCCCTGAGTCCTTTGAATTGATTTCTCTGCAGGTCTTTTATTTTGTTGTCGTGCAGATCGAGCGCTTTCAGTTTCTTGAGCGGCGTCAGCGCTTCTACCGGCAATGAAGATAGCGTACCTGAAAAGTATGGTAGTAGGTCAAGAATTATAATATTTTCTACTTCAATATTTTATTATTTCTATTTTCTATTGACGTAAAGAAATTAATATTTCCCGTAAACCGTATACTTTTGTACTTATATAGCGTGAGAAATTAATCCCACGCAAATTATATCGCTTTCAAACCGTAGCGATTGACGTGGATAACAAGATCGTATTTTTCATCGATGGTACCTTACGATGGGGCTACGATTACCGTTACTAATCTCCAATTTTTCCAGTTTTGCGGCCACCGCGCTTTCACCGAAACTATTCCCCGGCAGAGTAGATATCCGGTGACCGGTGATGCTTAACAGACTGAGATTACCGAGGACCTGCAACGCCTCGCGTGGGAATTTCTCCAGGTCGCTGTTTGTCACGTACAGCTCCTGAAGTGTTCGGTTCACGCCGAGGAAGCTGTGCTCCTCGATCAATCTCAGCGGCGTGTCGATGAATTTCAACACTCGAACGTCCAACGGATACAGGGCGGGTCCGTAAAATCGTACTGTAAATTCGCAAAGAAGAACAAAATTATTTATCTTATCATGTTCGCGATAATATTAACGGACAGTCATTTTATTGCCAGTCACATTCAATGTTTTTTACTTTTTCTCGACGGTAAGTCAAATCGTCTTACCTATGTTACATTTATACAGAGTCAGTTCTTCGATCGGCATGCCCTCGTTTCCCAGATTCGCAAAGGCGAGGCTGAGACTTGCCAGATTCGTGTTTTCGCAGCGGACGTACAAACCTCTGTCGCTACCCCGAAGGCAAGTGCAGGGATAAATGTAAATCACGTCTTTCGGACAGTTGAACCTCGGCCCGGGTGGCACGTAGCCGCCCATTACGGACAGAGCCGTCCACAATAATAGCAGCGGCGATAACATTTCAATATCTGCTTGAAAGAAACATAAAGCGGAAGTTTTATTAACTTCATAATTACGTAACTCATAATAATCGATGCGATGTGAATGTATGCGAACGTGTACGGCTGATGTGAGAAATTTCAAACCAGAAATTAAACGTAACAGGCTTATGCATAATATAATTTACAGATTCTCTTCCTTGCGTTGAGAACTTTATTTTATAGCTGCATCACATCGCTTATATAAAGGTTAATAGCGATATTTGCCTTACGGAGAAGGTACGGACTCGTGATATCTTCACATTTCGGGTGAACGTTCCGTCACACCGTGATGCAACGCGCGCCCCTTGTGATATGTGAGAAAGCCGTCGCTACGTGAACTCTTTTCGTTAATCGCGTACGCAGCAGATCGATGCGCCGATAACCGTGCGCCTAATAAACAGAGACCGCCCTCAAAATCGCGATTGTTTCCCTGCGAAATCTCTCGTGATCCGACGAATTGTTAAACGGCCTTTCGAAGTTCTTTGTCCCCCTCGTTACCTGCGTTTAAGCGAACGCGATTACGTCGGTCGCTGAATTCGCGATCCGATCTCACCGCTTATTATCCCACGCGAGTTGCCGGGATCCCGCGATTTCTCGATACCACGGCGCGAAGGTGACTAACCGCTAAGATCATCGTGATATTCCCAAATGTGTCCTTGAAGAAGAGTCTCTGCTCTTTTTCACGCCGCTGCCGACACGACCCACGCACGATGTGACCTACGCATCGTAGAATAAGGATTTCATGGCTAGCTGCTTCATCGATTCGTTATTCAAGCACAATTTAAATCGTCCGTCGCGCATCAACGGCAGTGTCTCCCACGCGAAGTCTATAAAGAAAGCGCGCAATTCCAGCACGTTTCTGTTACGTCGCGAATTATAAGCTACTGTAGATTTAAACAATTGTGCATTAAATGATTTTACCTAATGTTGCGCACCTCGCAATAGAAATCTACGAAAGCGACGTTTGTCCAACCGGAAATGTTAACGCAATTAAACCAATCCGTTTTCACTATGCACTATCGCGAAGACGATGAGCCATCTGCGTAACCATGTATAAAATTTCGACGGAAAATTAGCGGTTACGCGCAACGGCGCTACGCCGCGGCTATTGCAAATTGATCGTTTTTCTTTCGAAACTTTGATGATTAGCAAACACAATCTCTGTATAATAACTGACCTCCTTTCGAAGATCATCGCCTAGCGTTTATTTCGATGTAGGTGGATACAAATCAAAGATCGTTTAGCCGTAAAAAAATGTAACCGTCATTATTAACGATTACACGAAACAATCGTTAATTATTTCACTACTTTCGTTTCTTCTCTCATTAAATCTAAACAAACTTGGGCCTTTTATGCTATTTGAACACTTGATTGTATCAGGCATACCGCTAATTAATAATTTTTGCAGTAGCAAGGAAAATGAGATTGTCAACTTATACTTTCGGTACAGCCCAACATTTGGTAATCAAAGAATCGTCGCGGCACTCGCAATTAACGGTGGCGTGCTATTAAAGTAATTGTGGGACCCACCGATCTGAGAAATAGAGAACTATGCCTTATTATAGCCCTAGTAATTCAACGAGCAAGAAGATAAAGAAGAAAGGCACGTTGATCTAGTTTGAGCAACGTTTATGCAACGTTCGTGCGATATAATGTACTGACGAACACGATGCGTAAAGAGAACAGCATCTGCATTATGCATGAGGAAAATTTATTAATCTTATCTTAGAAAAGATATTATATTATGTATGAAAAAAAATATATATATTTTTAGAATTGTGCAGAAGCGTAAACTTGTTATCATGGAAATCTACGAACATGAGATCGATGAAATGATAATGTTTGAAAGAAAAACGATACTGAGAAAAACACATGCGCGCCTTTCACTTCATTTCAGTTGGTCTCCGTCCCGCGTGTGCCAAGGAAATAGCCACTGGACCGGATCACGCTGACTTTAAACTCGTATCAAATCTACAAAAATATACAACACCGCATTGACGTAACACATCGACAATATTCGACATTTATTATCACCGAACTGTCTTGCGCAGAGCAAAACTCGAACTGGTTACTCTCCGTTTGCATCCATCGATGCGAGAACATTTAGAAACTTGATGAGAAGTCGTTAATAAAGGGTAGGCTGCACAACGTGAGACAAATGCGATTTCCGTTTCTCGAAAGCGGAAAGAACAACGGCGGAGAGAAAAAGAACATATGCCACGCTCTACTTTCTGAAAGTCTATCAATTAGTGTTATTGTTGGCGTAACGAAGACGGCCGGTTTACGTAAAAAAAAAACACACACACGACTATCTCAAGATACCATATTACTTGTTAAATACTAGGATTAAATTTCATTATACAAGGAAATCTCCAGAACCGAGATGCACTTTTCCATGCATTTCTTTGACATAGCACAGCTGAGGATATTTTCATTTCACCAGTCGTCCTTGTGGATATCCCATCGTGCAATATCCCATGTCTCTACATTCTTCCATCGATAATTTTTTTATTTGTAACATGACATTCTTTCTCGGCAAAGAATACGTCATCTCTATAATCGGAATAATTCGAAAAAAATCTTAAACGAGAAATTAAAAATAAATTCGCAAAATGTTATTTATGAAATACGCAAAAATTCTTATAAAATTTTAGCGTCAAAAAATAATAGGAATAAAATTGTTAAATACAAATGCATAATAAACGTTTTCAATAAACAATTTGACAATCAAATTTTACTTAAATATACAGAAAATTAGAGAAATAATTAAATAATAAAGTTATTCTAAATAAATTGGAGATAAGGACAACCGTGCAAAATTCGATGAGTTAGCTAGACATTAAGGACAGTTATTTCGAGTAATAAATGTAGAAACATAACGTTCTGTGCATTAAAGTCACTGCTCGCGCTGAGAACCGGAGAGATGACACATCTAAACACACGTGGACACACGAGAACGTTATGGTCTTAGCACCGCTCTACGTTTAAAAATGTAACGAAGCTAATAAGCCGCTCATTTAGCGGCTCATTACCTTCGTTACACTTTGAAAAAAGACATCAACATCCTATTCGAATATTTCAACATGCCAGCCGAGACCAGTTATGAAATATATTACAAGTGACATTTTAAGAAGCCAGCCGAGACCAGCTATGAAATATATTACAAGTGACACTTTTCTCGAAAATTTGTCAAACAATTTTGAGATGATAGGGATAATAATATAATTTTATTTTATGTCACAAAAATATTCACGGTACCTTGTTGCACTTTGCCCGGTAATTTTCAAAGGCACGAAGATCGCCGTGACTTTTTTCAAAAATGCACTGCTGGTATCCTCGGGGTTACATGTTTGCCGCTGAGCGGGTCGTCCTTTTTCCTCCACCATGCAGAAGTAATAGAGAATGAAAGAAGAGCAGGGAAGAATAGAGAAGAACGAGTGTGCTTCGCCGCGTGTCTTCAGGACATTCTGTATGTGGTTCTTGGATGAAGCTGCCGTGAAAACTGAGCCGTGGCTCGGAGGCAAAGAGAAAGGCAGTCTCAGAAGTAAGGCCTCCCTCATTGGCAGTTGATACGCGCTGTCCTTTCGCGGGCATCCTACCTTTTTCTACTAACTCACTGCAAATGCGATAGCAACTTGACAAAATAAAATCGTATCTTTGAAGGTCAAGGTTGATTGGCTTACTAAATTTTCTGCAATTATAAATGTTATGCAAATTAATAAATAAAAAATTATTGCATAACTTTGACAAGAAACGTGAGATTATATTTAATTTGGTACATATAATATGATACAATCCTGACAAAGCCTCAAGTGGAAGAAAGTTAGCCATCAAACGGCACCTTAGGATTGGTCGGTGCTAGTGAAAGTAACTTTGTATAGTTAGCTCGGTACTCGAATACCGAGCTATTCAACTTACGCGATTCACGGCATGACACTGACATCTGTTGGTGCACAGATAAACATTTTTCAATTTATTAAATACACAATTTTAAAAAATATTTCTATAAATATCGCAAAATCGTTTTTTATGTTGCAAAAACTTATTAAATCTGTTTGTAAAAAAATTTACACTCAACAGTTGTTTATTTTCTTCACAAATTTGTTTAAATCTTCTTCAAATATTTCTCACACAAAATATTTTCTTAATACTGCTTTCAACATAGCAGGATGTGATAGTTGAGCGTCGTTTAAACGGTAATGAAATAGAATGGCAAGCCTTTTTAAAAATTACACGGTTATTAAGGTCGTTGAGCTGTCAGAGTTTTTCAGTTTCAAACAAAGAGCTCGCAGTGCAGTCGGTTGCGTTATCCTTCGAGTAATTCAGTGATAGTGCGTTCACCAAGTACTGAGTTGTAATTTCACAACATCAAGAATAAAAATTTATCTTTTTTGCTTTTATAAAAATCGCGGTTTATACACGAATCATGAATCATTTCGTAATATTTGTGCTCATGACGTTTTTATTACTGAGTGAGTCAAAATTGATTGTATAAAATTTGTTTCTTATATTTGAAATGTTGTTTTATAAATTTTTTATTATAGGTATAAAGATGGCAACTCAATCCACTTTGGGTCATTTTGTAAGAATCTTTCTTTAAATTCCTTTGAAAATATTTTTAACAAATTAACGTTTTGTATTTGATAATAAAAATTACGGATTATATTGCGTGCATAGGATAGAAATCGTTTAGAAACCTACGAGGAGATATCGAGTGAACAAAACAATATCGACGTCTTCGAAAATCTAACTTTTCGCTTTACTTGCGAAGGTATGCCATCCGGCTTTTATGCCGACGTGGATTACGATTGTAGGATTTTTCATGTTTGCGACAATTCGGGCGACGGATTTCCAATAATATGCGCTAATGATTCAGTGTTCGATCAAAAACGACGAATTTGCACAAATGAGGATGATATCGATTGCCAGTACGCTCATGAATGGTACATTTCACGATACTTAAATCGATAAAAAATTGTAAGTTTCTACGATAGAAATAATGATTGCTCATTGTAGGTATTACTTGAATGAATTAACTTACTCTGCAGAAGTCGAATCGAAAATGATCACAGAAGAAGTCACAGAGAAAAACGAATCCAAAATAATACAAGAGGACGAAGTGCCTTCTGTTTTGCCATTCGAAATTGATTAAAACTATTTTGTATATTATGCTACACGGAAATGTCAAAAGTGTTTTGATGATATTCAATCTTTTTCTCTTCATTTAATATAAAGACACGTGCATGGGCAATTAATTGCATTCCACGTAAGATTCTTTAAACAAATTACTTTATTTTTTCTAATACCATTTGTCAGCCAAGAATGCAAAAACTCACAAATTACCAGGTACAGCTAATTGCTGCGAGAAAGGTCGGGGAATAATATTTATAGGATTCTAGAGTAACATGTTATTTTGCTTTCATAGTAGTTCAACGTTCCAGCGATCGCGTGTGCCCCATGATCTTGACTCCGGTTTCCTTTGTGCTCTTGTTGCGTCCCGATGCACCTTTTGCCGCATGCAACACGTAGAACTGGTAAAAAAAACAAAAAAAAGAAAAGAAAAAATATACGAAGAAGACCGGTGTGGTAGTCCAGAATAATCTCGAGTCTATTCCTGACCGTTCCAAGCTGGCTTCTCAAGGTTCTTGAAAGTTGTAGCGCCGGTGTTTTCGATATCGATGCTGCATGTGCAAATATATGCAAAACTTTATTTTATCTTTTGTTTATTTATTAATAAGACTTTATAGATTTATGAATCAAACGTTTATTTTTGTGCTTTTAATATATGGAAGAATTTAAATAACTTCAAAAACTGCATTAATTATTTGATTGTATTTTTCGAAGATAAAAACTTCGTGATTATAATAATATCAAAACTACACATGATATTAATAAAATAATTAATTAATTATTAATTAATTCTTATATCATAAAGGGATAACAGCAATTATATATGATAAGTATACATTATTTATTTTTAGACGCAATGAGAGAATATGTCAGTCTTAAGATCTACACGCTAACAATTCAATATTTATTCTGCGGTACGATCGTATGATTTTTTAATGCCATGCTCGTTATATGAAAAAATATGAAGTATCACCCTCCACCGTAAAACCCCTATGACAATGAAATAAATATTTCCGGTGAGTTTTTTTCTATTTCATGATTAAATTGCGAGGAATTGTTTCCACAACCATCTACGTAAACCGTTCTTCAGATTCTAAATTATCTATCCTAATTTTAGAGAATATACTCTACTTGTGAAGCCCGTGTGTTGCTAAAATATAAGTGAAATTTATGACGAGAGATAACGGACGCGTCCATAAAAATTTTTAACGGTTAATTTCTCGTCTGATATTTTTGAAAAATAATACATTTTCTCTTAACGCAGAGAAGTGTTGAATAAAAATCCAAATATAATAATTATTTCAAAATTACAATGTTTTATGTACGCGACCATGACGACATTATCGCGATAACGTAAAAAATTAAAGCTAGCCCAATATAATTCGATTTCTTTCAAACTTAGAGAAAAGTCTAATGATGACGCGCGCGCGCGCGTATAATACTCTTAAAAAGGTATTATATATACCTAAACTTTTAATATATCGCTCATTTGCTGCAACAGTGACATAACTTAAAAATCACAATTTTCTAGAAAACAAGTTTGAATGTTTTAAATCGTTATAATTTGGTAAGAATATCATTTTGAAATGCCGTATTGGTATTGCCAAATTGATGTTGAAATGCCAAAATGATATTCTTATCAAATTATAACGATTTAAAACATTCAAACTTGTTTTCTAGAAAATTGTGATTTTCTAGTTATGTCACTGTTGCAGCAAATGAGCGATAGATATAGTATACATCAAAAATGATAAGTAGACTTAATCAAGCGAATCGAATACTATTTTCCGTGATGAGATTCGTGATGATGATGTGATGGCCAAGTGATTCCTGGACCCACCTTATCATTGTCATAAACATATTTAATTTTCGGATTGTCCCCGAGCAGATTCTGCCGGATCATGCCGAATATAGCTGACGCGAAAGCTATGTTGCTGATCATTCCAGCCATGGAGGCAGCCGCTCTGGCATGAGCCAAGGCCATTTGGATAAAGAAAGTTATTATAAAACCGATTCCGGGCAGCAGACTGGACATCTTCGTCTTCATCGCTCTTCCGAGATGTATCATCGTGCTTGTGATTTTCCGGGACAAAACATCCTCTCGCAAGCGTAGGTAAATAGATCCTCAGTTCCGAGTGTGTATTCTCATCAGAGGATGATTCAGTGTCCTTGATTTTATTTTCATTGTCTGGACTCTCCATTTCCATAGAAACGCTCTTCACGAGTTTGTCCGAATACTTATCCAGCAGAGATCTGAGTTCGTTCTTCGCGCGATATTCCCTCTTGCGTTCTTTGTGACTTTCCGTGGCGTCTTTTTCGAGATCGTAGGTCACCTCTTCTTTCAACGGTATCACTTTCAGTTCTTCTGTGCTTAGTTCCTTCACATGAACGTCAGGATCGTTTTTCTTCAAATGTTCTTCGCTGAAGGCCTTTAATCTAGTTGCAAACTTTTCGTTCAAGCGAGTTCCGAAGAGTACGCCGAAAGCGTTGTAAGCGTCCTCGTTGAGGAACTGTGCGACGTTACCGTCGGCAAAATCCGTCGCGTTAGCTTTAATTTTATCTAGAAACATTGTGATTATCTGATCGTCGTTTATGGATCGCTTAATGTCCGCGAACTCGTCGCTCTCTTTTAGAAACTGAAAGTCCGCCTCCTGCATATCGTCAAGGCTCCTCTCTCTTTTTTCTTTCTCTTTCTTGATCTTCTCATTGTCCGGCCGCTGATCCAGAACTTCCTCCATGATATCACTGATAATTGTCAGGATACTCGGCAAGTTCTTGTTGTCTTTAATCTTTGTAGCTCTACCCTCGCGGAATCCGCCGAAACTGATACCGACCTCGCCGTTTCCGTAGCCTGTGATTTTCAAGAAACCCAAGTTTGTCTGAAATTTGTCCTCCATGGCTTTCTTGTACCAATCCAGAAGGACATTCTCCATGGATTCCTTCCGCGTCAGCAATTCTTTCTCGAAATCGCCCGTGGACATGCCGAAGAAATTTTCCACTTCGGTTTCGATCGACTTCGCGAGACTAGGTGGATATGCAGGCGCCGAAAACGGCAAGCCGACTAAAGATGGCACGTTGTTGATGAGCATCGGCCAAACAAAGATGCCCATACATTTCATGAAACTCAGGCTAAGTAAGCAGTAAAATACTCGTGAAAAGAAACCCCGACTCGCGGGGTCCAGATCCTCCGCGATCTTCAAAATCTCGTATTGATCGGCGGTGAGAGAATTTCTGACCGTGGCATTTAATGTATCCACGAAATATACCTTCGGATTTTTCTCCTTGGTATTCTTCTCCGCAGTATTCTTGGTTTGTGTAATATTAATTAGAAGCTGAAGAAACTCGGATTCTGTGATGTTCGGAAATATGTCATCCATTGTCGGCTCCGAAGTCTGCTCGATCTCTCTGCTGGTCTCGTAATAAGAATTTGATAATTGCTCAGCGCTTCTTCGTCTTCTTTCGTGTTTCTTGGGTAAATCCGTGGGGATAGATTTCAGCAATGGTCGTTCAATGTCAGACAACTGAACTTTCTCGTTGGAAATATCTAGTAGAATGCCTGATGGCTGACCAAGATATCCGGGAACGATGCCTTGATCACCTGAAAATAAAATAAAATTAAAGATTGATAAATTGAGAATTCAAAGAAAGAAATTATTTTGCATCAAACGGATAAGACTGATTCACCTACTGACGGAGTGTTCGCAGCTCTCGATACTCCACTTATCTGGTTCGCCTGCTCCGCGACTCTCGATTGAACCGGCTGCTCCTGCGGCTTCAATTCTTGCGGTTTCGACTCTTGCGGCGCGTCCGACAGAATTCCAAACTGCGGAGAACCAACGCCGCCCAAGCTAGGAAATCCTGGAAACTGAGGCAGACCTGAAATTCCACCCGGTAATGAAGGAATTCCGCCCGGAAATGAAGGAATTCCGCCCGGAAATGAAGGAATTCCACCTGGAAATGAAGGAATTCCGCCCGGTAATGAAGGAATTTGAGGAATTTGAGGAATTTGAGGAATTTGAGGAATTTGAGGAACTTGAGGAACTTGAGGGCCCTCGGCGAAAGGATTTCCCACTCCGGGAAAAGAGGGGATCTGTCCCACGAAATCAGGAAGCTGGCTGGGGAATTGCCCCGCGCCGGGAAATTGTCCCACTGGAAGTTGACCTAAACCGGGTATTTGTCCTCCACCAGGAATTGGAAACTGGCCTGCAAACAACCCGTCGAAGTTCGGCAGAGTTGGTGAGAATTGTTTCACAGTTGGCCAGGTGACGTGCTGCGTGCAGGTCACGAAGTTATTGTATCTCACGCATTCGAGCATGTTAGATACGTACGCGTGGCGCATCGAATCTGGTATCGCTTTTTCCGCTAATTTGACGATGTTCATTTCACGAGCGGTCAGAAGACTGTCTACTGCAAAATTATTTGCATCCAAATAGGAGTTTTCTAAACGCGGCGTCGATTCCTTGCTCAACAGATCTTTCAGCACATTCTCTATTTTCTCTTCGATCGTTTCTATCGCGTTTCTCATACTTTGATCATTTTCATCTGACGCCTGATTCCCCGAATATGCATTACGCAGCAGAATCGACGATACATTAATTTTCTTTCTCTGACTCTGCCTCTGGCCTCCGAAATTCGGGAAGTTCGGCAGCCTTGGGAAGAATTGCGCGATGGTCGGCCAAGTTACAACTCGAGTGCACTCGAGGAAAGAGCTCTCTCGAACGCAAGTGACCATTTTTTCTACAAAAGCTGGCCTCATTGATTCCGGTAACAGATTTTCCGCAACTTGAATAATATTTGCCTGCCGTTCCGTAAAGTACGCTCTGACTTCCGGCCTCGACGTAATCGAAGAATACACCGTGCCCGAAGTGGTGTGTTGTAGAGGTGTCAGGATCTTCAGAATCACGCTTTCCGGATGTTCCGAGAAGATTGGAAAGAATCTGGTGTCCGTGATGGTAACAGTCGCGTCTCCATGCTGGCCGACTTTGACGTCAGTTTCCGAGAGCGGCGATGGATCGGTAAGATTCTGAGACAAAATGGACTTGCTATTAACGGCTTGAAGATATCCGAAATTCGGAAAGCTGGGCAATCGAGGGAAATATTCCGATAGAGTCGGCCACACTAAATCTCTCGAGCATTCCAAGAAGTTGTTCTTGCGAACGCAATCCAGCATTCGATTGACGAAAGCAGGACGAGCTGCGTCGGGCAGCAAGCCCTCCGTTATTTTAACGATATTCAACTGCTGATCGTTAAGCAGATTGCCGAACTGTTGTGTGCTGATATACTTGGGACTAGGATCGTCCAGCACGTTCGGCGATGACAGCTGAACCGACTTGATGATGTTGAGAATCACCGACTCGGGATGTTCCGTGAATATCGGCACAAATCGAGTACCGGTTACGCTGATCACAGGACTGCTACTCTGTGGAAACTTCGTTCTGGAGATGATTTTCACGTTGGAATTCACGTTCTGCGATTTGTCCCATTCCTGCTGTTTGGCGGCCTGATGCAAAGTATTCTTGCTCTTCAATGATGTTTGTTGATCTTCCAGTTTTTGTGGCTGTTGATTAGATAAATCGGGAAATTCAGGGAGATTTGGAACGTAAAGAGAGACTGTGGGCCAAATAATGTTTCTGGTGCAGTTCGTAAAGTCGTTATTCGTCTGAAGACAAGACAGAACTTGAATAACGAGAGGTGCGCGTGCGGGAGGCGGCACAATGTTCTCCGCTAACTTTAATATGTTGATTTGCTTCTCGGTGATGGTCTTCAAAATTATTATATTTCCGCTGCCGACTAGCTGCGGATTTTCCGGCGTCGCTTTCAAGGAGTTCTGTACTTTCGTCAAAATTTCCGTGATTTTATTTTCCAACTCGCCGGATGCTTTGGAAGAAACTTCATTTCGGAGCAGTATCGTGGAGATTCGAGCGGGTGGTTCGCTTGACGTGGAATTACTGGTTTCTGCTGGAGGAGAGGGAGAAGTAGGAGTCTGCTGACCGCCACCTAAACCCGGTATAAACGAAGCAAAATCGGGAAAGCTCGGAAAGCTGGGAAAGTTCGGCAGATAACCGAAGAAACTGGGAAACGACGGTATCCAAGCGGAAAAATCTGGCAAGGAAGGTAGAGAAGGACTGAACTGCTTGACCGTCGGCCAAGTCGAATATCTGATACAAGTCAAGTAATTAAATTCCTGAATGCACCTCACGGTTTTCTGGACGAATTCCGAACGATACGAGACGGGAAGCAGCTGTTCGGCCATATGGATCGATAGCAATTGTTCCGGGGGAAGCAGAGCGACGTAAGAATCCGTGTGAGTGATGGCTGGAGACGGCGTCTTCAGCTGCTCCTTCAGAGCGTTATGAAGGATGCTCACGATCACCGCTTCTGGTTTCCGCATCCTCGTCGCGTCGGCCTCAACGACCTCCGGCAATTCGCCCGTGCTTTCCACAAAACTGGGAAAGGGAACGATAGGATACTGCGGATACAACGATATGGACGGATACCAGTTCGGATAATCCGGGAAGGCCGGCAATGTCGGATAGTACTGCTTCACCATCGGCCAGGCAAAGTACTTGACGCAGCTGAAATACTCGAATCTGCGCACACACGAAAACATCCTGTCGGAATATTCGCGACGTATCTCGGCTGGCAAAAGCTTCTCGCCCATCTGAAGAATCTGGAGCTGGCTGAAGGTGAGAAGCGAATTCAAGGTTTCGTTCTGCGGATCAATGTAAGTCGGTGCCAGATCGTAAGTGGCCTTTGATTCCAACGCGCCCTTCAAGATGGTGAAAACAATGTATTCAGGCGACAATAGCCTAAGATAATGAACGCCGCCTTCCGATCTCGCGGACTTTGCCCGATTACTCTGAAACAAGTCGATCAAGTTTATCTCTATCGGTAGATTGTTCAGATTCTGCTTGACCGAATCCGGCACATAGTTGAGAACGACGGGCCAAACAAAAATGCGCATACAGTTGAGGGCGCTGAGACCGCGAATGCATTCCGTCATGTTCTCCACAAAGGACTGCCGCTGTTTCGTCTCCACTAGTTGCTCGGCGCACTTTATTATTTCCAATTGATTCTTACTTAATTCGGTCGCGTTCAAGCTAGCCGTATACGTCTCGTTCAAAGACGATTTCCGCAATAGCATGATATTCTGCAAGGTCTCCAGTAGTTGAACCTCCGTGAATTTCGGGATGTTAGGAAGCACCTCGGTTGCTTGTTCTCTTAAATACTGCAGGAACGTCCTGTTTTTTATTTGATCCTGAAGCAGCGCGGCTTGATTTTTCCATTGTTGAAAGCGACTAGGCTCTGGCGCCAGAGATGGTTCGTCAAGATTCTCGCTTCGAGCCGATGCATCCTTCGCGTTGCTGCTGCGCTGACTGCGAACCTCCTCCTGCTCTTCAGCGGTAGATTTTTCTGAAATAAGACTTTCTTCATCGAGTTTTTCAGGCTGTTTCGCGCTGCTATCGATCGTTTCGAGAGCGTCGTCTCGTATGGATATTAATTTTTTTATCTGACCGTCTACGATCGATTCTTGCTCGCGACCAGGCAAATTGCGCTCTTCAGCATTTAAATAGACAGTTGAACTCTTGTATTTAGACTTACCTGAATTGGATAAATGTCTATCCTCTCTATTCGGATCTAGATCTTTGACACTGATTTCTTCTTTCACAGCCTCGTCCGCAACGTGTTCTTCTTGATTTTTTTCATTCTTGTTCGTATCGGCAAGCTCCAAACTTCGAAGATCATTACGTACTTCCTCGTTCACCTCATCGGTTTTCTCGATTCGCGCCTCGTCCAAATTAGGTTCCGCCAAATTTTCAACCTGTCCCGTCTCTTCCTTATTCAAATCTATCTTCTCCGCCTGCTCCGCACTCGCGATGTTTCCCAGATTCTCTCGAAGATTGGAAGGAATCTCTTCGTTTTTTTCTCCCTGTGATTTCGCTCCATCATCGTCACTTGGATTTGCATTCACATTTTTCACATCCGTCTGCGACTGTTTGGCATCGATCAATTTTCTCTGCTCGAGATCGTCCGTCTGTGAATTCGGAATATTCTCGGTGATGTCGTCCGATGTCTTTCGCTGGTCCTCGGTGTCGTCGAGCTCGACTTGAGAATCGAATCGTCGAATACCCTCATCCTTCTGCGCGCTCTGCACGTCCTGCAACACAGACTTACCAGGCAGAATCACATCGTTTCTGCGTCTCTTCTTCGCCACGCTACCTTCGTCTTCCGTTTGGATTTTCTCCGAATTTTCGACGAGTACGATTTTTTCTTCCGAGATTTTTCTCGCCTCGCCACCGTCATCTTCATCTTCAT